ATGTATAACTGATCACAGTCCTCCTGACACTAAACAGCATACACTATATTACTCTGTTTTTGCCGGGTGTTGTTTTCTGATGATAAACTAACAAAATTTACAGACAGGTGGCTACAGCACGAAGTAATCTGTCACTGAAAATGAAATTTATGAGGCATCAACCTGATGAACAAATTTATATATTTAAATATACTATATATAGTGTGTTAGCCTCTTATGATGCAATCATGTTTTTGCTGACTCTGTCCTGCCATGAAATAACTGAGTCTGCATTTTACTTCCTTTGGTTGATTTTCGGTAAAATGTAGCCAACTTTGGAAAGTTTGTCTTGTTTTTTTCCTTCTTTAAAACGATTGTCTCTCTGTTCCTCCATTATTATTGCTCTTTGATTTGTCCACGGCTTCTTCTGTGGTTTGCAGAGCAGCATGCCGCGTTCTTCTTCTTTTGTAAACAAAGCAACCACAGACAATAGAAGTGATTCTGCCCCCAGCAGTCCATGAGTTGAATTGCAGTTACAAATGAGCATTTACGTGGGTAAAGAATATGATGCATCATCATTAAAATTCCGCATTGACTTATTTTTATAATCGACGTCGATTATGTTGGCTAATCGTTGCAGACCTATATGCTTTGGGATGCGGTTTTATTGTTCTACCACCCCACACTACAACTTAAGGTCAGTTTGGTGTTCTGAGTTGTTACAGTGGAGACCATTCCACATTATAGGAGAAGTTATGGGATGGATCTCCATTTTCACACGGTAAACAGGCACGCTATGCTGATCCCTTTAGTGCCAAGATGGCTGCCAGGTGTCTCGACTGAGCCACATGGAAACCATTATAGTCCCAGTGGTGATTAGAGGTCATGGTTACAAGCTCTTTACGGCTTCACTTGTCCCCTTTGCTGGCCACAGACACTAACAACACCAGGCTCAAATGGAAAGAACTTTAAAACACCAGCTTGTCAAAGTTACAAGTGGGAATTTCTTGTAATGCTGCTTGCAGTTCGCTAACTTAGCAGTCTCACCAAAACCACTGTATGTTTTATGGCACAGTACAAAGATTCAGCCAACATGAAAGTGCTGATCTAGGATCACAGACTTAACCCTTTGGTTACACAACACAACAAAGTGATTTTAAAAGCAGTCCCGTTCATGCTTATTGGGATGGGAGTTTAGCTTCCTGCGTTAATTGCAAACCAATTTCCAGGTTAATAAACAGACTTTATGAGTTTTTCCTATCAACACACACAATCATAAAATGACCTGGAGGGAAATAAACCTGACATAAAGGCAAAACATCGCTGTAAGAGCAAGTACTTACACACGGGAAAGCTTAGGTTTCTGCTTAAACGGATGGATCTAGAAGAAAAAAGACAGTGGAACACTTCCATGTGTAAAAAATGAAATGAAATGGAGATTATATTTAATCATTTAGATGGCATGTTATATCTAATATTTTACACATTATATTCACTGTTTCCAAGTGGATAAAAGTCTAAATATCCAATAAAATTAAATTAAATTAAATTAAATTAAATTAAATTAAATTAAATTAAATTAAATTAAATTAAAATTCTAAATATCCAATATACGTGTGCAAAAACATATTAATTTTGTTTTTATTATGATGCGTAGTCTTCAACCAAGGACTTAAAATATCCCACTAGGAGTGGAAAATAAACCAGGCAAGCTGTGAAAGACATTAAAGTGTGAAGAAGGCCATGTCTGCAGCCTGCTGTCACTAATTATAATGTCTGTGATGACAGAGCACAGGGCTCTATGATCTGTGCTTTAGACCCATCCATAAAACAGACATCTGCAGTGTCATCTGTCTGCGCCAGAGCCCAGACTGAGCTCCTGTTTCAGCCACGTCAGGTTCAAATTGCTTCATGTCTGCATTTGTGAAAACCATTTACCAAAAACTGTAAAATAAAAATGTTCAGTTTTTGTTTTATTCTAATATTTGCACATTTGATCAGTTTCCATTGGTTTTGTGAAGGTCTTAGCAGTAAAATAAACACTAAAACACATTCTATGTATTTTTATTCTCACTTTTTTATTGCAAAATATGTTTGGAGTTAGAGTTTAACATCAGATTCACAATGTTTTATATTTTCTAATTTATGAAAAAAAACAGTAAAACAAAGCTTTTAAGTCATAAATCACAGATTCAAAACAAGCAGATAAAACTTTGTAGGGATCTGACATTACTGTCTTTATTTTAGCCAGGGCATTTCACATTTTCACAGTTTTTGCTTTTCTTTGCAGGAATTTCCAGAACGTTCAGAAAAACAGGTGAGTTCTTCTGTTTCTTGTCAACCATCAAAGGACAGAGTCATTTTGTGAGTGGTATGAAATCAGGAAAGTAATTCAATCAGTCTGATCTCATGAAAAATTCATCCTTATCTCTTAAGATTTTAGACTGTTTTTACTTTAAAATGCTGCAGTTCCAAATTAAAAGTCCCATTTGTTCAATCTAACAAGTAGTCACTTCCTGTGGCTAAGTTCTGTTTCTTTTCTATTAAAACTTGTCTGTGTTTATGTGGTGCCGTTTGTAAAGTTACAGTCAAAAATTATCACCAATATCTTTGTCTTATTTAGCTTTTTATAGGAAAAAAAAGAACAGATTTATTTTTCAAAGTCAGTTTTTTACCATATGATTCATACATTTATAAATGCCATAGTTTATAAACTAAATATTAAACTTACAAATTAAAAATTTAGTTAACAAGCTAAATATTTAACTTGTGACTTAAATATTTAGTTTTGAGCTAAATGTTTAGATTAAAACTTAAATATTTAGCTAGCTACCAATTTAACAAATATTTAGCTAACCACCTAAATATTTAACTGAAATATTTAGCTAGATACCTAAATATTTAGATTGCAACTTAAATATTTAGCTAGCTACCTAAATATTTAAGTTTCAACTTAAACATTTAGCTAGATGCCTAAATATTTAGGTTGCAACTTAAATATTTAGGCATCTAGCTAAATGTTTAAGTTGTAAGTTAAATGTTTAGGTAGCTAGCTAAATATTTAAGTTAAATATTTAGGTGGCTTGTTAAATATTTAACTTGCTAGCTAAATATTCAAGTTGCAAGCTAAATATTTAAGTTTCAAGCTAAATATTTAGCTTGTTAACTAAATATTTAATTTGTAAGTTAAATATTTAGTTTTTAAACTATGACATTTATAAATGTATGAATCATATGGTAAAAAACTGACTTTGAAAAATAAATCTGTTCTTTTTTTCTTATAAAAGGCTAAATAAACGAAAATATTGGTGGTAATTTTTGACTGTGTAACTTTACAAATGGCACCACATATGTGTTATTCATTAGCCAGCCTGCCTGTTTAATGTGGGCCAGACTGTATTTCAATTAGACTTAGTGGCTGGCTGAGTCTTTGTCTACAACTGGACCAAACCAGAGCCAAACAGAAACACTCTCAGACTCTGGTTCTGCTCTGAACTGGTCTGTTTTCTTTACCGGGTGCCCTGCCAACAGAACGGGTGAGGAACGGGGCTGGCCCGGCCACCAATGGACAGGGTCCATTGGGACAAAGTGTGGGACACTGATGAGAGAGAGAGAGGGAGGGAGGGAGGGGTGGGGAGGACGGGGAGATGTGGGGTTGATAAGCTGCTATTGTGAAGTTGCAGCGGTTAGAAATGAAGCAGTCATTGTTTGATTTAGTCAGTGTCTGTCTTATCCTTCCACTTATCTGTCTGGATCAACCTTCCTGCCCCCGTCTGTGAGAGAATAATTCAATCAAGTGAAATGTAGCTGTCTCATTACCTCCATTTGTTCTTCCTCTTTTAATTCTCTCTTTTTTTCTGTCTATTTATTTATGTGCTCATAGACTACCAACAATATTTAATCTGATAGGTCAAACTTCCCATCGCCAGCCACTGTAAGACAAAGGCAAAGAAATAATGTGTGCCTATCATGGGACTGTTAGTAAAATATCTCCAGTTAACCCAGTTGAGATGTAAAGTCAAGGGACTTACACAATACAAAAAGATTTAACTCAGTCTCACAATGTGTTAGAATCTGAGTCATGTATTCTGAGCAATTACTGAACAATGCATTATTTAAAACTTTGACATTAACTTTTAAGTTCAGTCCTGTTTGTTGATAAAATATCTCATGAACCTCTGGACAGACATTCACAAAACTAGGGCAGCCCAATAAGAAAACCTGTGATGAGCAATAAGTTCTTAAAATTGAGATGATGACATGACTTGTGATAAATGGACAAATACATATGTATGTAGGGTTGATGTCTTTCTGATTTGGGTTCAAAGCAAAAATAAAAAAATGTTTTGATTCCAGCAAGAACTTTTTAAAGGGATCCCTGATAGTTGTAACATTAGACTTTATTTAATAAACACATATTTTAACTGTAAAATAAAGACTGTAAAAATAC